GATTTCTGCGGAATCCACTGTATAATCCAGAACTTCTAATTTTCATACAATTTGATCGAAACAGAGTACATAAAATTATCTCATAAGGTGGTTGGGGGGGTGTATATGTCGATATGTCGGTGTAGGAGAAACACCCCTCCCCCAAAAACCCAAAGTTAGTTGGTTCGGGAATATAGTTATAAACTTTTGCACATGTTGGGTGCCCCTCAGGCTGTTGTACTTTTTTATTCAGACTAGAGCTCAGCTAGAAAGTCCCTACCTATTTGGCCTTACCATCCCGACCTGAGAAAAACAGTGCAAAATGGGTGAGAATCATCAGCAAAAATACAGCAGAAATAGCTGCTATGGCAAGTTCCACTGTAGGTCCATACCACTCACTGATAGTCAAGACCAACGACAAGCAAAACTCAAAACTTTTATGCCATCAGCCAAAGCTTAGTTTCCCAGGAAACACACATTTCAATTGCACTGTTGCAGCAAGTTTTCAATCATGCAACCATAAAAACAAGGAGGAAAATTCTTACCACCATGCTGTAAAGTGTCTTGCATACAAAACAACAATAAAATAATACAAATAAATTTAGCATTTTATGCACTACAGAAAATAACATTATCCCTAAACCTCTAAAAGTTAGCCCTTCAAATCTATGAAGTTTAGATTATTACTGAGGTGAAATTTTCCGGGAAACAATAAATGGAGACTACAACTTCTTTCTTTTATTTTCCCCAAAAGAATTAACATCCAACAGTCTATGAGACACGTGGTATGGCAGTGTGTGCCATGGCAAGACAAAACTCATAGTTGTGAAGAAAAAGGCAGAAACTTCAGTGTGCACACCTCAGGAAAATAAAACACTACAGAAAAATAAATTTGAGAAATTATAAATCAGTATGGAGATAAAAAAAACTCCTCTTAAGAAATAAAGCACACTTCAAAGATCAGTACACAAAATAAATTTTAAGGGCACAATTTAAGGGGAAAAACCAGCAATGTCAGTTTAGGTTTTTTTCATTTTCTGGGTTATTTTCCCAACATGATGCCTGGCTGGGTCTGCTTTAAACCGTCTAAGTCACATACGGAAAAACGAGCTCTGTCAGTCTCTGTGAGGGTTAGAAAATATGGCCCACAATGGAAGAACCAGCCATGTCAGGATGTCGACAACAGAAAAACCAGCGATGTCAAGCATACTTTTCTTTGTTGCGTCCCATGCGACCAATCAGAGACCACATTTCGGTGAAAATTGTTCATTTGGTATAGGTTTAATGCCCTTGTCAAGATTACTAGATTATTTAAGAGGTGAGACCTCTGAGTTTAACGTCCATACCTGGAAGGACCGAGCCAAATTTCATGTAAAGTGCTTTTCCCAAGGACACTACGTTGGACCGAGCTGAGTCAAACCCCCCGCAATGGTCTTATACAGGGTGATCCAAAAAAAACTTTACAACTTTTTTTCTGAATATCTCAACCAAAATTTGTTCTAGAATGCTGTGATTTGGAACAGACACAATTCATTCAAAAGGAATTTGTTTGATATTACATCCGCGAAGAAAAACCATTTTTTGAAAATAAAAACGGCTAAAAGAAAAAAGCACCCCAAAACGCAAAGTTCACCAATGTTTTAAAATCTTGTAAAGGAAGCCGTGAAAAGATTAGTTGATCTTTTTCTTTATTTTCTCTTTGACATTAATTTTCCATCCCTGTGACATTTAAACAACATTTAATTTCTTTTACAGAGTTTTAAAAACCTAATGATTTCATTCTGAAATCCCTAGAAGCAGTGCTCCACATTCCCTCCTTTGGACTCAACACATTTTTAACGCGTCGTTCGAAATGTTCAGTGGCACCCTAACACAGGGACCTGCTAAACCATGAGTTTTTAAAGCCACATACACTGTACATGTTCACTAAGAAGTGGCTTCTACAGACAATAGATTGAGGTGCTCAATAGACAGTATTTTTGGAGTTGACATATCCCGAAGGGTGAAAATGGGCTTTGCACTAAACCAAATGTCATCGAGGAAATGATCCCTCTTTACAAGGCAATCGAGGAATGATGAACACATTGCCATGCTCTGATTCATGTCATCTCGGCCTAGCGAAGATGAACATGGTATAGTTGTAGGTTAAGATCTGCCATGAGAATGCAGAATGTTGATGTGTAGGAAAGTCCTAGCTGCAGACCGTCTACGCACAGACGTCTCATGGGACTCGGCTACTGAAATCTGCACTCTGGTGATGTTTAAAGGGCTGCGCATGGTGCGTGTTCGACCTGAAGTGGTCATTTTTTAAAGAAATTTTTAGTTCTGATTCGCTATAGATCCAAACTGATGGAACTTCTCTTCTCATGACGCCAAAGGACTTGAGTGCACCTAAGCATTCTCTCCATGCCGTACGCAGAACTTACGAAATGTCAGCGATGGTGAGTTTGTGGAGAGGTAAAGTTCAATACAAAAAGCTCTCTGCTCTTTACTAAACGTTGCCATGATCTCAGCAGGCAAACAAAATTTGGGAAAAATAATATCTGCAGACTTCTGTTGACTTGTTAGACTGCTGTAGCTTGCAGTATGGCGCGATTGTTGCAACTTTTAGTGGTAGGCCTAAAGCGAACTCGTGCGTCATACTATGAAAATGGCGACAAGGTTGAAAATGGGCTGTTTTTTTAATGCGCTGTATAGAGCAAAACCATTCAATGAACCTATCTGAAATACATATCAGACAAATTCCTTTTGGCTTCCACACGTTATGTTCAAATCTGAAACGTAAAACTTCAGTATGGAGGAAGATATTTACTAAACAAGTTGTAAAGTTTTTTTTGGATCACCCTGTATGTGCTGCTTAACTGGAAAATCATTCATTAGGCACCCATGTTGCACTAACCATTGATATTTCGAAGAACTTGGGCTACCCAAACATCTCAGCAAACAATTTATGCAATCGTTGGCTAATAATATCTCTCTTCTCCTTTAAAATCTACTCTCCAAGTGATGAAACAGTACACTTTTACTGTCACGAGATAGTCAACAAAAAGGGTTGGTAAGATGTGGCCAGCATGCTGCTGCATTACTTTCTACACATTCTTCCAGCTGATGCGACTCATGCGCAGGCTAAAACAAGAACAGGAGGGTGGTCTGATTTCTCTATCATGTTGGTGTCCATCAGGAAAGGTATGAAAAAGTGACTCTTGTTTCCAGTGAAAGGGCACAGCTACGTGGTATGCGACATACACAACGCCAAGGTGAATGAGAAGGTCATTGAAGATAGGCCAGCCAGTTGGGTGGAGCAGTTCAAGATAGAGCGCTTTGGAAACCCTAGTTGCTCCAGAAAGCCGTATTCCAGAATGTGTCAGAAAACCTTACACCGTACTACCATGTCTCCAGCCTTATACCCACTCGACCTCTTCTTGAAACCTGAATCTCACTGGCCCATCCATAGCTAATGTAGTATAGAGAGAGCTGGAATGGCCCGTTTCACAACGCAATCATTATGAAGCCGGTGGAAAAGAAGAGCGCTGCAAGACTCCAGCCCCTGAAACTCCTCTATAAGTGCCCACTGACCATCAAAGATACCAAATGTGCAGACATTAAGGTCTTAAAGGTGTTCTGGCAAGACAGTTTTTCTCCGAATTGCCCCATGCAGGAGGAAAAAGTGCCGCTCAAGAGTCTAATGATTCAAAGTCGTCAGTGAGAAATGATTATTAAATAATATAAAAACAAACATAGTAAATATTACAAAATGGTGTACAATTTTCTTGTTTGAATCATTTAGCTTTGTTTATGAGAAATCGTTGTAGCAGAAAAAGCGTTATAAGTCTTTAAAGTTTGTTTTTCAATTATCTCGGAATTGTCAAAACCTGACATCGCTGGGTTTTTTCCTTGTGCCCTTCATTTGCTTTCAAAATGTGAGTCTGTGAACAGATGTATTGGTGTATGGATATGTTCACAATTGTTGAAAATAACAGACTGAAACCATTGAAAAAAATGTGAACATTACTGTTTCAAGTTATGGAAATGTATTTTGACTCAAATAACGAAAATGTCAACAATATAGTAATACAGTGACCATATTATTCTCACTCTAAAAATGGAAATGTAATCATCACTGTGTTAATGTTCAAACTAATATAAAAAAGAGGAAAACACAATAAAGTGCTAATGTTCTGACTCAGGTAATGAAAATGAAAACAGTATGGTACTGTGAAACTGTGCAGAGTCTGTCACAGTAAGGAAATTATAAACATCATTATGACACTGGCCATTGAGTCAAGTGATGTCATGGAAAAAAGGAAACAAATCAGCATTCAGGAGGAAATACGCACATGGAAATCTGACCTATGAACATGCGTCAGTAATGACAAGGTTCTCAAAAGTTTCTGGGAAGTAAGGAGGATGGTCTAGCTGGCACAATAGGAGGAATGACATTTCATGGTGGGTACTCTGACGATGGATGCAATATTGCTAGCTATCTGCTTCAGTCAAAAGGAAAACTGACAGATTGAAATAACTGACACAAGAGCTTGCAGACATAACACTTTCTCATAGCCTCGTTTTTGAAAAAGGTCGACGATGCAATTGATTGTAGTGAGGAATGGCCACGTTGAACTAGTAACAGATCAGGGCAATAATAACACTGACATGAAGTAGATGGAGTCGACCACACAATAAAATCTATAACTATAACCACTGATGACAGTCAGACACAAGGCTTATCTCCTCACAAGTAGAACAGTAACTGTGTCACAATTCAGTGGAATCGGGCACTCGTCATTATTTGGGTGCGTGGAGTTATTGGTTTCATCTTAAAGCTTGTTCATTTGTCTTGCTATTATTCTTTTTAAATACCCATCTATCTTGAATAAAAGTTTGAGATATTTGTGACTGACAGAGTGGTGTCAAAGGTAAAATTAGCCAGAAAATTGCCGCCAAAGTTTGATGACTTCCAAAGCTTGAGTGTCCTTGCAAACTAGAAATCTACAATTTTTGTCTTTGATCAACAATTTTCATTTAACTCAGTACAGAATGGTGTTGCTAAAAGGACATAAAAGGTGTTGAACAAGAAACTCCATAAAAATTGAATAAAAATTGCCCAATAGGCAGAAAAATGACAATTATTCTGACGAGTGTCTGATTTCACTGTGACATCATAAAAACAGCATAATAACACTCTATCAATTTGAAACAAAAGTTCTCTTTACTGATAGACATAGCCAACACATATCACACAAACCAATCTGCATACACTTACATTTACATGCAAATCAAGAAAAATAACAAACACATATATAACTTGAAATGAAAGCTCTCTTTACAGTATAAATCAAAACACTTCATAGAAATCCCCCCCTCCTCCAAGCCTGACAACAAACAGACACAAGGAATAGACTGAGATTCCAACACATGATAAAGAAATAAATAACCAGCCAGGATCAGTACTTCAACGGCTCTCTATCCATGAATACACAAACTATCACAGCCAATTCTTTTCTACAAGTCTGAGACTGAGAGTAGCTAGACTTCCTGGCAACAATTCCTTTTACACTATATATTTAATCTGTGACATGATTTATGGTCTATTCTAATGAAGTGACAAAGATTTCTTTTCACCAAAGACAAACCTCACATTCTGCAGATTTCACAAAACTTTATTTTACAACTGATAATTATTACTGTTGTAATCCATAACTTTAAAACTTTACTTTCAGCTTTTTATTCTTAAAAAATGGGAGATGTAATCATCACGTTATTAATGTTCAAACTAATATGGTGATGTGAGAAGCTTATCATACAACACAATGCACACATTCTCAAAAATACAACAGGATACAAAACTAATTCATTTAAACATTGACAGTTTTTTTTCTACAGGCTGAACAGTTGAGTTCACTTGAAATAAACTCAGATAAAATAACACCTCTCCACAACACCATCATCTCAGTGCCTGCCAGGAAGTCAATAAAAGAAAAACTACTCTTAAACAAAACGAATTGAGTTCCGATACACTGATATCAACCGGACTCCACACATTGATATATTCATTACGTCTCAATCAATTTGTAGGAAAATATCACAGTATATACAATTCAATATGCACTTACAATATAAAACTCAGCATCTTCAATATCAGCAATAACGCATATTTCTTATAATCAGAGCGCCTCATAAACATGTATGGAATGTCATAAATATCGGATGGAATCGTCCAAGACAAGATAGAGCAAAACAATTCACATGTCAACAATGGCCACAAGCAGCCTCCTCTCATGTACTGGCCACAGCACTCAGGGCTACACTCAGAGTAGGAGACCAAGCTATAATAATATCTCAATAATTTTGTAACAGCACCTCAAAGATTTCACTATTATAATATTTCAATAATTTCTTTCCAGTATCTCAATAATTTCGCAAAAGAGTCTTAGTATACAGTGGAGTCCACTTAAAGCAAAATCTAACGGACGGCCGGATTTTCTTCAGTTTAGTCGAGTTTTTGGTTTAGAAAGTTTGCTCAAATAGTGAAGAAAGAAATCAGGGATATTTTTTCTTTCAGTTTACCCCTGTTTTCGGATTAACCGTGTTTGTTTTAAAGACTACTGTAATATCTCAATGATTTTGCCACAGAAACAACCCTAGAGAAATCTCAGTCAACAGGTTTTCCCATACAGCATTCCTAGACTATTCCTACAGCTGCAGGCTTAGCATAATGACAAAATTGCCACCCTGTCCAGTACCTTCAGGTGTTTCTGTTCTGAAAAGTAATTATTTCTAACATTTGGTCCCATACCGTGAGCATATGTAACAGAACAAAGACACAAAGAGCTATGGCTAGACATGAAGGACATCAATGTGATAGGTACAAACTGGCCAAGTCAGAGATTTGACAAAAAACAATAAAAAGAACCTTTACCATTTATAATCACTTATATAACACACCTCATCTTGTGTAGACCCCCAAGTGTAAGTCCCCCCCCCCCCCAAGCAAAAAGAAAAGAGCTAACAGAGCTCTCAAACTCCATGAAATGTTGCTGCATTTTATAAAAACATTTAATACACAAGATAGGATTTTTAAAAATTATGTTCCCTCAATCCAAAGAAAAAAGGTTATCATAACCTTACAATATCCTTTTTTTTCTTAAACAATAACAGGACAAAGGAATATAAGGGCAAAAGACGAAGAATAAGCTCAAATATTTCAATACATTTTGGCCAATATTCTATTCAACTATTCTTTCTGGACGGAAAATTCATCACTGATCTTATGTACATGTACATGCATTATGTGCGTCAAAGAATCCCTGATCCTATGAGAGAATACTGTGCACATTGTATCATACATCCATACATTGAAATCTAGCTTGATACAACTCTTCTCTTGCCAATATTTTAACACATTGAAGGCAGGGAAGCAAACTCTCATAAATGTAACTTTTCATGAAAAACATGCATTTATTGCAAAGGAGCATCTCATTTGTAGTCGTTTTCCACAAAACATTTCTCTGTATTTTTAAAGCTATAGGCTCACTAGTTTGACACAACACTTGGTGTACAATTACATATTTCTCATCAAGAATTAACATGATAAGTGAGGCAGCGAGGTGATATCAGGCACTCGTCAAAATAATGAAAGTGAAGAAACTGGAATTTTTCCGCAGGTTTGGGAATTTTTATTGAATTTTTGTTTTTTGGCTCAACACCTTTCATGCCCTTTAAAGAACACATTTCTGTGTGGATTTTACTGAAAAACGTTGATCAAGATATACAAGATGTAAATTGTTAGTTTCCAGGGACTCTCAACCTAAGGAAATAAGTAAACTTTGGCAGCCATTTGCTCGTTAATTTTACTTCTGAAACCAGGCAACCCTCACTTCTTTTAATCACAAATATTTCGACTTGTACCCAGGATAAATGGATATTCTTTTCATCGAAAGCAAGGCAAATGGACAGCCTTTAAGATGATACCAATAACTCCACATGCCAAAAAATTGAAGAATGCCCGATTCCATCACGCCGCGTATCATGTAAACTCTCAATGTACTATTCCTGCCACCATGGGGGAGACTCAAGGCATGATTCCCAGAAGTGAGATATTTACACTGGCTGCTAAATGCAAAGGAAATGAAGCGTCTAGCAGCATCTATTGTGAAACAGGAAAGCCCAATGAAAGCAGCCCAAGGAATGTGACAGAATTTGTGAGTCTAATGTCATACTGTTCTGTCCATCTTGCTTCAGAAGCATATCTCTGAAACATTCCGTCTTTGTTTAATATGGGGATAAAATTGTTAGAAATACACCTGGTGATTTCACATTTTCAGATTACAGCAAAATAGCAGTAACCATATTTAGATTCCAAATGCATCATTACACATCAATTACAGTTTCACTTACCAACCCATCCACACACTCTCCCTGCTCCTCTTTCTATTCCAACAAGGAGAATAGAACACACTGCTACATGCACTCAACCCCTGCCCCCCCTCTTCCTCCTCCTCCTGACCCCCAAAGCACCTCACAAAATATTCATCTCTTCCTCCTCCTTCTTACCTCCAGAGCCCCTCACAGAACATTCAGACACTACTTTCTTTTTCTGCGGCACCATACATAACTCGATCAATATTTAATCTTTAACTCAGCACATCTAAAAAAAAAAAGCAGGTAAAGTCACCAATACATTGGGAATGCACTCCAACGTTAAACCCCACCCCGTATTACTTCCCTGATCTCAATATCAGAGAGAAATCTGCTAAACATTACCACAAGTTAAAAAAACCAAAAACATCATCATAACCCCCCTTAAATCCTTTCCCCATCCCACCCAACCCAAAATGCCCTCACAAAGCATACATAATCTCACTGCTTCCTTTTTCCATCATTCTTCTCATATCATCATCTTCGTCATTGTCCTCTCCTTCGTTGTTATTCGAGTTCCCCCTATAACCGTAGCTGCGCGATTCCCCGTTGTGATGGCGGTGATCCATGTCCCCTCTGTCATACGACATGTCCTCACGAGGGGACGCTGCCATGTCTTCTCCCATGGAGTCAAGGTCAGGAACCATGCTCTCGATCTTACGCTGCGACTCCAAGTCCTCTGGAGGAAGTCTGTTCACTGGGGGAGGAGGAAGTCCTCCTTCTAGTAAGCCTGAAACAGACAGGGTCCAAGTTCACTTTGAAACTTTTAATCGAAATTCTACGACTGACTAAAGAAAAGTCTCAAATAAATAAATCCTTTCGAAAAACGGAGGTAGATGTGCTGTTTTTTCCCTCCCTAGGAAAGTGCTAATACTGATTTCTGTTTGGCTCATCAATAAATAGTTCAGGCACATATCTGCAGTAGGCTGACAAACCACCTTTTTTCACATTCACAGCAGTTTCGAGACAAAGAGGTTTTTGTCAGCGTAACCATTTAAGAATAGATCTAATATTCTTCCAAAATCTGAATTCTAATTTATTAAAAAACTAATCAGTTTCACTTCAATTTTTTTTCACACAAGTAGGATAACTGACCAGGCGTTCAATTCAGCAAATAAAAAAATTTGGAACCAAAAATGAAAAAAAAAAGGTGTTTTGTCAGCTTACAGCAGACATCTGACACATGCATGGCCTTGGAAGTAAGTGCCTTTGCCACTGTAAGTTTAACATTTGTGATGAGCAATGAAAGAGTTAAACAGATCCCCACTCCTATCCCCATGGCAACTCACCAAGCCACAAACAGAAAAATATAAGAATCAAGGTCAGGAAAGATAAATTACAATTATAATTCAAATTTTCAACTGTTCCAATATGGTAGAGAGACTAAAGCCAAAATACAAATGAAAAGATCAAGTAAATGAAAGACAGCTCTAGTTTGAGTTTTAGTAAAGAAAAGCACATTGACGTAAAGGTCATTATTACCAGGTATGAGGAAAAAGTACGACAGACAAACTGAAACAGCAGATGGAAAGAGAAAAGGTAAAACCTACCAGTGGCACCCTCCAGCCGCACTGATGAGAGACAAACAAACATAAAGATTGGAAGAGGTCAGTTAAAAGATAATCCATATTCTGTTCCTTTACATTGCCATGGAGAAACCTAAGTACAATTGAAAAGGAAAGATGGCCCTCATCCTATTCTTATGTCAACCTAGCCAGATGATGAAAACACACAAGACCAAGAAAAGATGAGCACTGTTCCGTTCTCACCAGCATACGGTTTGTCCATCTCCGGCAAACCGAGAGACGAGAGCTCCTTGTTCTTCTTGCTCTTGCCCTTGCCCTTGCGGTATTTCTGATTCAACAGCTGGTCCACCGGGACCTGGTCCACAGGCTCCCCAGGCTCGCTCGACTCGGTGATCGTCTTCGGTGCCGGCATCTTGATGGTCTTCTCCTTCTTATCTGAGGTTTGGACATATGAGAGAAACTTAAGTCCATTAAGCCACTACAAATGTGAAAAATGTTACTGTGTCTTTCTTTTTAGGTAAGAGAGAAACTTAATCCTTTCAGCACTCAAAGATGAGAAACTGAACTCTATCAGCGTTCAAAATTTAACTCCTTTTCGCTCTTACATGGGGAAAATTTAAGCCTTTGAATCTCACAGACGCTTAAGTTCTTTCGATATATGCATCTTATAACAGAATGCTAGTAGTACAGTCATAATCTTCACTTCTTTAATTGCTCACTCATTCTGAATTTCGAAACTAAAAAAAAAGGAAAGATAAAAGGGATTTGTTTTGACTCAAAAATAGAGAATAAAAAAAGCAGTCGAATTTGCTGTAACTACTGCCTGTCCAAGACAGGCACCTGTACACATGAACCCCAACCCACAAACACATTAACTGGAAGCAGTGGCATTACGGTTAGGCTCTTTGCCAGGCTTGCAAGTTATGAAAGATCTGTTCCAACGAGCAGAGGATATTTTTATTGATTATCTTAATCTGTCTGGTAGGATGTACCCCATACAGCCTGGCAGGCAGGGTAGAAGCAGCCTCTTTTCTAAGCAATTAACTGTGTGTTGATAGGGGTGTAAAACATATATAATCATACCTTTCAGGCCTTCAACAAGTCGTGCCCCTTTACCGACGCGATCACAGAAGAGAGCGATATGCTTCTTCACCTTGCTGGTGTCTGTTGGCAGAGCCAGAGGGCTGGGGTTCACCGCCTGGTCTTTGGCCGACTTAGCCATTACTGTACGAAGGAGATGGGTGATTGCCGCGTCCACAGCCTCCTCCCAGCCCTGACAGAGAAAACAAGACATTGATCATGTTTAACAACTTTTCTTACAAAAATAAGTAACCTTTTATAAAATGTCATTGCATCATAAAGAAAAAGATCACAGGTAAGTCACTGGACTTGCAGCAAGGAAATGAAGCAGTATCTGCTGATCCCTCCAGGATTATCAATATCATTGAAGTTTAGGGCTCCTCGACCCCCCCTTGAAAATTCAGTTAGCTGCAACGTCCATGATAATACTGTAATAATATGTGACATTTATATTGCGCTCTACCCCGATTACAGAGCACAGGCTATGAGTGTCTTACAAATACAGGTAGCCATACAGCCATAAATAGACTATAAATTATGTTCTGACTAAAAATTTACATACGTCTGTTTAACCTCAGAACAAAAATGACTTGAGATTACTTTTACATAAAAATTAAAAATTATTGCAATCATTTTCCCGCCCTAAAATGACACAAACTTTTTGCCATCATTCACAACTGACCTGCTCCTCACTGGCATTGACCACAGGACTGAGCGTTGTCTCAAGGACCCGTGACTCTTCCTCAGACATGTCCACCCACAGTTTGAGCAGGAAGTTCAGAAGGTAAGTGCCGGAGCTCAGGTTGTTGCCCGCCACCATTTCCGCCATGGAGTTTTCGTCAACGGCATCCGCCAGGGCCAAAATCTGGGGATGTAAAAATGTTCGAGTTTGGTTAAAGAGAAGTACATCGACATTTTAATGGCTATACAGTTTCTTTTTACGGCACTTGCAACACATTTAGATCATATACTGAGGATTAGAGGTGTTAAAAGAGAGTAACAAACACAAAAAAGCAGGAGAGATAAGGACAGACTATAGATTCTAGAAGTAAGAAGAAGAAAACCAAACCAGAGCACTTACCAAGCACCGATGGTCGTAAAGTGTAGGGTAAAAGTAAGACAGACTGACAGACAGACAAACACAAAAGAGGGAAAGAAAACAAGTTTGCCTTACTGATGGCACCTGCCAACAACCTGCATAAAAGCATTGACGTGAAACAGTACAAAAGCTAGCTACAACACTTAAGAATAAAGGGTTTAAAAAAAAGTTTTAGTAGAGGGTTTTACGGCGCTCGCAACTGCATAAGGTCATATGAGCGCCAATGAATGCAGGTGAAAACAGTACAGGGCTAAAACTTCCAAAGACAGTTCACAAAAATAGTCATCTGCCATCCACTGTTTTACAATAAATCACAAAATCAACACCACACAAAATTGGAACAACAGATAATTGTATACCTGTCGATAAGTCCCCTCCAGCAAAGTGTCCAAATTCTGCAGTGGTGCTGGGGTCTTGTCCTTGAAGCGAGTCAATAGACGCTTCTGTATGGTGCGGAACTGTGATGCTCGCTGAGCCAGCATCTCTTTGCACTTGTCAGCCCCGGTGCGGAACTGAAACACACAGGTACGAAGACATGACTTGAACCATAGATTATGTTTTTTGTTCTAGTAAGCGTTTTATGGCACTAGCAGCATAACTACGTCAAATAAATGCCAAAGATTAGAGGTGTTACAGGAGCGTAACAAACACAAAAAGAAGGAGGAGAGATAACGACAAAAAGACGTTTGATAGAAAAGAAGGAGCAAACCACACGAGAGCACCCGCCAACTCCCCACAAAGATTAAGAAAGATGAACAAAAGGGTAAATATGTTGCTGCGAAACATACATGAAAAGCATAAGTTAAAGCATTGAAGAGTGATATTTACTGGAAAAGAATTTTACAAAATCTTTGTAAAAAAAAAAATCACTTCATCGTGGTGGACAACCCAGCAATGATCTTGCTAAACAAAAAGTTATAAGTGCACTCTGACAATTCCCAAGCTTTACATTCACCATGAGAATAAAATAAAACAAGGTCCTAGTGTCGGTAACACATTACTTAATTTTGAAACGTGGAGTCCGAAGTTGCTAGAGTGAGGAAATTAATAAACAAAATTAAGGGACAGCTACTGTTGCTTTTTCCCTGGTGTCAAAATAATGTACCCCAGAGTCTACAACTCCCCTCTCCCCCCTCCTCTCCCTAAATATGTACAACACACCTTTACAAAAAAAGGTTTTAAAAAGTTTTGAAATGTAATAACCATCACAAAACAAACGCTAATGCTGACTCTATTCTCAAATTTATACACTTTCTTTTCATTTTAAAAAGAGATTCCATTCAGATTCAGTGTAATATTTTCATTTTCTCAAAAGAATGGAACAAAGTTACTGCAAACTCCAACAGGGTTGAATAATAATAACCCTAAAGACAAGGATCTCGTTGACGCTCCTCATACCTTTCTTTTTTTTATGGTAGAGGGTTTTACAGTGCTCACAGCTGCATAAGGTCATATGAGCGCCAAGGGGTGGGTGTCAAAAGAGAAGTCTTTACAGGGAATCAGACTAAGACTGCTCACCTCTCTAGCTTCAACAGCACAAGGTCTGCTTCGACTATCAAGGCACCCCAAAATAGCAGGTCACAAGAGAGTGAAAAACATACAAAAGAAGTAGAGGAAAATGATAGTAAGGATCAGGAAAGAAAATGTAGCAGTTCCCTGTTGTAGATCAGGCACAGTTATGAGCGTGACATGAGTCAGCCCATTTACAATTCTACAATGCTTGAACGAGAAATTCCCCCCTTTGGGAATGGCCTAAAGACACTACAGTCAGTGGCGCTGCCCCGGGGGGTCCTCATACCTTTGAAACATCAAGTATCAAAACTGTTTGTAGTACACTATACACAAAAATAAAGTAATTATTTATTTACGAAAGATCTACTGCCTTATCAAACACAAAAAAATCAAATTAAATTGAGTTACTACAAATTCTTGAATTCACTATACTATTATCTAATAAAAATAGAAAAAAAGTCTTTCTGTATATATATGCACACATGCCAGGATATACTCACATCAAAGTGTGTGTCCACAAGCTCAAAGTATTCCTGCAGTGGCAAAGCCCCATCAAAACTGACGCGGAAGTCACTGTGGCTGCCTTTCTTGAAGTGATTGTTCAGCCGAGCAACAAGCTCGCGCAGAGGAAGCCACATGGATTCCAGTCTGTCGCTCTGGAGGCGGTATCGTTCTGAATGGAGGAGATATAGAATACGGTAAAAACTGTCACTTTGACCATCAATTATAGCTTTCACTTTTGCGGAACAGCTTTAATTCCCAATAAACTTATCTTCAGAGGACCACCACTTCTATGTGATAAAGCTCCTTTTAGACAAACCGTAACCGCAATGCAGCAGAAGACACTGCACTTTGAGACAGCCAATCGACGAAAGAAATTCATAAATTAGACTTCTGAAGTCAGCCATATATTTAATCATCAATGTTCCGAGGCCAGGCGCCGAAAACTGGCCAAAATCGTGCCTCTTAGTTTCCCAGGCCAGCGACATCTGGAAGTCATTAAATCACCGTCGGAACCGCACCGTGCCGGGTTACGCGG